CACGCAGGAACATGTTTTTAGATAGACAGAAAAGGTGTTGAACCGAAAGCATAATATTCGATAAAAATTGCCCGTCCAACGGGTGTGAAAAGTCGATTTCTTGGATATCACCATTTTGACAAGCGACTCATTTCACCATGATGCAACACAGACGTGTGTCGTTCGAGAAGTCGCCCACGTAGCTACTCACCGAAATTGCCTGACACTATATATAATTACCATTCCTTTGCCTAAACTAATTAGTCCCTCGCCCACAGGATAATCCTGTATCTCGTATCGGTATCTATCACATGCTGACTGATATTACGCCTCTGAATAATGTAATCAGAAACCCTTTTCATGATTAACTGCTGCTGCTAAGAATATTTAATCAGATTTAGAGGGAGCACGACTTTATATAATCTTAAAGACACCTGTGATTTGTATCTTCTGATCGGTTTCGATTAAACTCAAAAACCCAAGGAGCTGTGCAATTAATAAAGACACTGTTAGTATCCCTTACATGAGAGCAATTCTATTAGCATTTTATGACACGCTCTGACTTAATGAGATTTTATCACGACTGCATTGAATAGGTCAATATAATCGAAACTCAGTGGTTAGTAAATGTGGGTTTGACGCCGGTATAAACATTATAAGGTTATTTAGAAGACAGTTATTTAAGACCTCAGAAATTAAAACCCTTCACCGAAAGGCCTAAACCAAATGGGTCAAAAGCCTTGAAAACTTCAAAAAACGACGTGAATTCAAAAACATCAAGTCTGGAATTCGAACTGGTACTACTATCGGTCCGCAGTTCATCTGAGCCAACCGAGCGACCACGCAGCCATATGGACTAGCGGTAGAAGGCCACAAACCGACAACACGTATGAGAAACCGTTCTTTCTCGACTGCTTGTTTTCCCATTAATGCGTCTATATCTAATGGTAAAATGTTAGTCAGAAAAGTAGGTAGGTACGTGGGTAGGAAGGCCGTTATGTAGGTGGTACGCAAAAAAAGACGTAAATACCATAACTATTATATATGAAGTTATTGAAAAACACTGGGGTGATCGCACAGGAACTTGCCCCCAGCTATGGTCACAGCTCAACATACGAGAAATTTAATCCTCAACTCGCCCCCATTTGAAATCGAAGACTTTTTGAAATAACAGTACTGGGATGTCGGATTAATTTGTTAAATTTAATGATTGTTCACATCTCTGATCCTTTCGTGTTTAGCTATGCCTTTCCCGAGTCCCTAACAGCATGCGTGCTTTTTTCTATTCAACACACGATAATATTTTTTGCTATTTCTGCCCACCATGGAAAAGAAGTAATCTGTCTCCTAGCACGATATGTTATTTTATATTGATGTCAATGATTAGAATGCGATCAAACTCTGAAACGCCCAACGCTCTTTGGGGAGGCCTTAGATAAAACGTGTCTTTTTTGTGGATCTGTTTACAACTCTTTTTTTTTGACGAACTATTTAATGAAATTGTCCTTCTTGTGATCTCCTCTTTCACATTCTTCAGTATAATCACACATCACTTACAGTGACTTCCACATGTTAAATCAGCGTCTGTTGTGTAGGGGTTAGACGTCCCGCTGTCGCACACAGGAGCCTCAAGTTCGATTCCCGATTGGGGAGGATTTTATTACAGAGTATGTTGGTCTTTTAGCTGGATTTGCATCCCTCTCAGCCTGGATTGGCTTTGGCAGGCAGGGTTGGAAGCCCGCCCTATAAATTATGGACACTTTTGTCGATGGGGGCGGAAAAACACCTATTGTAAAAACCACATTTTCTTGCCTCTTTGCACTTCAAGCGAACATTTCATTGCTTTACTATTTAGCTGTCGTCGTTTCCGACGGTGGGGGAGTTCGTGACCAGTTTCTCCCACGTAACCTAGTTTTAGAGCGGAGGAGAGTTCTTGACCTCCCTGGTGTGTGGGATTGTTATGGACGGTTGGGAGGGGGTGGGGGGGGGATTCCGCGTGATAAACAACAGAGATGGGTATCTCCCCCCCCCCCCCCCACAGTATGATATTTTACTGCATGATAGATGATTACACCAGAGTAAAAATTCCAGGAGACCTTATCTTTTCTTAGTTGATATTATCGCGCCATGCCATGGTGAGGATAACCCGGGTTCGAACATTTAATACACGTATTTTGAATACTCAATAATAAGATAATGATATCATTATGTTGTTCATAAACAACATACTTAGGGAGCTGTCAGCTGTTTAAGCATCCGTGTCTTTGGTATAACAGTTAGACGTTCGCTGCCGCACACAGGAGACACGAGTTCGACTCCCTTGTGGGAAGAATTTGCATCAAGTATATCTTCGTCTTTCTACTGGACGTTGTCGCTCTTAGCCTGAGTTGGCTCTGACAGACATGCCCTAAGCCTGCCCCCTAGATAATTGAAACTGCAAAAGCTGTGTTGAAGAAATATCTACCTTGAAAATGTTTTCAGCTAAGATAATATATCGGCCCATTTGGTTACATACGTTATATTAGGTCTCGCCTCTTCAATAAGCCCTTTCTGTTGACAAAGGTGACGAAGCGATACTGTATAAAAAGAAGTCAAAAAGTGACCGTTCACGATGAGATTTGCAATACCATTTAAGATGGAGCATCCTAAGCAACAGGTAGACACCTTACCTTGTATGCCCACAAAACAAGAATCGCATTCTTGTTAGTTGAAACATTTCCATTTTTTTTCATTATTGTCGTGCAACCAATTCAATAAGAAACTTTTTAGCGCTAAAAGATTTCAGCGTGGAAAGGAATGATCTGATCGATGTTGTTGAGTACAACACAACTCCAATCCTGTGTTTTGAGATACAGCATTTACTTAATTCAGAGAAGAATAATGAGGTACTAATGTAATGAGACGAATCCAAGTTGCGACTTATTAATTTGCGTGCGAGCATTATTATAATGGTCGATTCTCGAGAATGATATGAACCTTCCTTCTATAACATTTGATGATGAACAACTAGCTGATACAAGTACAAAACACCGATGGGGAGAATAGAAATGATGGGATAATAATACTATTATGACTAAAGGGTTGGCGCGAACTATCTAGGGTTTAGGTTGCGGGGAGGGGGTTGAGGGGTGAGAGCGTTTTTTTACTGGAAAGGGACTTGGGCAAGCTAAAAGATTATTGGAATGTTGGGAGACGATGAAATAATATTTAAGCTTGGG